GAAAGACATTAGTAACCTTTTTTTCTTTTTAATTCTTGAATCATCAATCACATTCATTTACAATTTTAACCTGAAAAGAACTATCAGACCTTATGTGCAGCTATCCGAAACAATTGTGCAACCACTCGAACTTCTCAAATTATGTCTAGATGTATTAGCAGCATTTTTTTACTAAGAGTATATGTGTCGACTTAACATTAATTTTTTTTAAATAGTTCTTTTAAACGATTATCTCCCCAAATATACAAGCAGATTGAACGAAAAACAAGTCTTGATATATTGCTGCTGCTTCAGGTAAGCTTGCTTTTCTTGCCAAAATTTGGACCCTCACATGGATCAAACGATGTTTAATCTCCATTTTCTAGAGCTAAGAAGGCATACATTTACCTCAGTAACTTGAGAAGCTTTAGTTCTTTTTGCTAGGAATGTAGCAGCTGTGCCAACAATAGTTGCAGCAACTGCAATGGAGGCTGCTGTTTCTGGCAATGCACAAATAATTCTTACAGTATGTATTTTCACTCGATTTGCGGAGAGAGATCCAATATCGACTCTGGATTTGCAATTTCTAGCTGATTCAGAATAATAAGAAACTCTCGTCCCTTAACTGATACTAGAGCAGCCTAATGTAGCACAATCCGCAACTCCAAACATCATTACAATAAAATAAAATAAAAAAAAAAAGAAAAAAAAACTAAATTTAACTACAGATACCTAAGTAAGAATACAACCCAATTCTAAATTACCATCTCATTTTTTGTTCTAACTCCGACACAATTTTCTCAATTATACACTGCTCAAGTAGGTGGGAAAACAAATTAACACTATTTAGAAGCCTTTGATACAAATTACTACAAATTTACATAATGAATAATTATGAAATAAAGGGCATTACAGCAAAGGGAACAATCCAACAATTGATTATATTATTGTAATGTAGGTAATGAAGATGGGAAAAATTCTCAGTTCTAACTTACTGTGATTGATTGGAGAAGCCGTTGGGGTCAGATTCTGCAATCGTAGCTCCATTTGCATTGACGTCTGTTTATCCTTTTTCCTTTTTCTTGGTGGGATTTTAACGGTTAATATGCGATATGCATTCATGTAAAATGATATAAATGTATTTTGACTTTATCGAATTTGGAAGATTGTATAAATATGAATATTTGTGTTACCTGATTCAAAAATTATAATAATTTCGATTATGACACAACACTTTGCTAATTTATATATAAAATATATAAACGTTGTGCATATATCATGTTTTTCAGTTTATTTATATCCCAAAATTAACACTGAACCAGAATCGTTTATAAAAAATAAAAGTAAAACAAAACGAAACTAACTACTAATAACTATTTAACAAATTATTTTAAGAAAACTCTATGAATAAGTTAAAATATTTTTCCCCCTTTTGTTTAACTAAAAGAACAAATGTTTTGACTAATAAACTTTAATAGGACATTTGATCAATATTTCACATATAAAACACTAAGTTGATTCTCTGTTTATATTTTTTTGGTTTAATAATCATATTGGTATATAAAACCAAACATTTATATTTATGTATTTATATGAATATTTTTATTCATAATTTATTTGACATTATCTATCTTCATTAATTGAATGGAATTTTCTGTTTTAATAATTTAAGTTTTGTATAGCCTGAATATTAATGTTCTAAAGGTCGCTAGGCGCTCACTAGATGGTGGACTGTGGCCTTAACGCCTAGGGTGTCTATGCGAGGTGAAGAAAATATTAATAAATTTATTTATATATTTCAGCATGCATAATTTATAATATATATTATATAAAATATATTAATTGATATAGTTGAATACAAAATGATGCAAAATCTAATGCGTTCATAATTACTGTATTAATTGTAAAATAAATATTTATATTTTTATTATATAATTAATATAAATTTCGTGTGTAAGAATCAAAATTATTTTTATTCTTTTCAAAAAGTAAACTAAAAATTTTGAAAAAAAATATATACGAGTGCCTAGATGCCCCCAAGACAACCTAGGTGGAAGTACCCTCACAACTGCATAGACCGCATAAGCATTGCTTGGTCCGCCTATGTGCAGCCTAATAGTTGGAACGCCTAGAACGACCTCCTAAACAAAAGTCATGGTGCCTAAGTGTCACCTAGCGCGTATGCCCGCGTAAGCGGGCTTAGGCCGATTTAGCACAGAGCTGAATATACTAAGAAATTATTGAAAAATGATTTTTTTATTAAAATACTTTAAAAATCAAACAAAATAAATAAGTATCACACGTTCCATTGTATGAATAACATTTTTGAAATTATTTACCCAAAAAAAAATGAGGTCAAAAAATTATGTACTAAAATATATATAAAAAACTAGTTGGTTTGCGCAGCCTCTCCCAATTTAGTTGATAATGAAATAAAAATTTTGTGCGCTATAAATCTATAAAATTAGTCATTAGTATGTTCAACCAAAAGATATAGAAAATAATTGGAAATTAAAATTGGCGCTACAATTAAAATATGTCCACACAACCAAAAAATTGCTCTGCATCAATCCCGATAACTTTATCAATTGCTTGGTATCGGTCTTCGATAGCAGTTTCGGTTGCAAAGTAGCCCAACCCATCCTGTGAGGGGCCACGAATTAAAAAAGAAAGCAAACTAATAAAAATAACAGTGTATAGTATATGAATGATGAGAACATAACAAACGCGTGTTTTACCTGGGATGCACATTTTCGCATAGAATTGTTCTCTAAAGACAGTGCCTGCAAGAAAATCCAATCAAAATTATAACGGATGTGCGAAAATAGTAGCATGAAAATGCAAAAGTCAAATATTCTTACCATTCAAAATGTTCTTAATTGTACCATTGAGACTTCCACATGCTCTTCAAGTCAAATTCCTTCACACACAAGTTTCATCTGCAAGTAGTTAAACTACATAGCATAATAATCCATCTCATGATCAGTTATATTTTATTTTATAGAGACATTTTATAGAGACAGATAAATGACTCGACCACCTCAAGCTTCCTATGATTGTGGCACACATGACGCTGCATTATAACTGCATACATATAGAATAGTCCATTGAAGTACAAATTGTCACCTGACTCGAAGGCAATACAAAACACCACCAAGATTCATATTATCACATAATTGTGTGTAGTTTCAGCACTCTCCATGGCAACTTTATCATTTTTCTTTCCTTTTGTTTTTCCTTTCATTTGTTCTCTCTTTTCAATTATAAACATCACACAATTACATTCCAGGTCTTCAGGCATGAGACAATAGGGGCTTTCAACTGGTGTTATCCGACAACTTCATATGCTTAAGCTACTTATAACCCTCTCTTACCTAAGTCGAATGGAAGTACATAGAAGTTCATCAACAATAAATGCTGACATAAACTGTGAACTGAAATATTTTAATATAATTATCTAAAAAAAATATCACTCACACCAAGAATCAAATGCCAAATCGATTGTGATATGAAATAAAATCCATTCAAGTCCATAACAGTCAGGGCTAAGCAACAACCGCATAAGAAATAAAATTCATTTTCAAACACTATCAATAACGTCAACAACCAAAAATAGCACCAAAAGCTAACACATAAACACCTCACCAACTGCACACCAAAGGAAATTAACTCTACCCAGCTCAAACTTGACCTAGTCAGTGAGGTCAAATGTCTCGAGGGAGAGCTCAAATTTGTTATGGGTCGGAACTAACCAGCTGATCATGATCCGATGAATTTTCTCGTTTATCGCGGATTGCGTGTCTATGTAGTTGTGAGCCAGGCCCTCCTTCTGCGCCAAAAAGCAAGAAAAATAAAAATCACTAAGCAAGCAAATTGTATTATTTGAAAACATGAAAAGGATTCTTAAGCTAACTAAAGATGGTAGATTACCTCAGCCGATTTGTAGAACTTGTACATGTCCCCAACATATTTGACGACAGTCATATCATTATTCACATCCTCAGCACCTATATCTACAATTTGCTCTTGAGATTTTTTACTCATCCCACAAGCAGTATATAATATTTTTTGTTTTAAATTCATGTCCTGATGATGTCGTAATTTTTATCCCATGGAAATATCGTAATTCATCCTAAGAACATAAAAACTATGTTACTGAACTTGTTTCATGGATAAACGTCTTGGATTGTTATGCCTGTAAGCTCGTATATGCTTGTTTAGTGCCATTGAGTATAGCATTGGCGACAAAACATGCATATAGCACAAAAGGGGGTTTAACAAAACAAATCTGCTGGGGAACAAGAGAAAAAGAGCAAAATCGAAGGGTATGATACAAAAACTACATCAAAACAAAACACACGATGCAAAAATTAGAACATAAAGTGTAGAAGTGCAATGATCTAACCATTGCGAAGGAGAATCAAGCACATATCTAGCTCTCTTTTGAAGGCGTCAACTTTTTCCATCTCATCTTGGAGCCTGCTGGCGTAATCCTTGTGCTTTGGATCTTCTCGTACAGGCCGCGACTCCTCGAGACTCCCGAAGAACACAGGTATGATGTCGGGTATTCTCGGACATCATAATCTTGGTAAGGTTAAATCTAGATATATTTGCGATGATGAATCTATAGTGCGAACTTCAAAAGATTATAATATGCCAACACAAACAAGCAGCTGAAAAAACTGCACAAACAGCAGAAGAACATAATTGACAGGTCTTATAGTTTTTTTAACAACCAAGAATAACCAATAGAAAATGTATACCAATATACTTAACAAAATAATTTAAAAAATGTAACTTAATGAAAATGGTTACTAACTTGAAAAGAATTCACGAATCTTATAGCTTCTATGATCCAGTTATACTGGGCACTTGTGTTTTTTAGAGGTGAGGTTGATTTCTTATACCCAAAGTACTTAGTAAAAGTACAAAGAAAAAATGAAAGTGTGAAATGGAGATAAAAATGAAGAGTTTCATTAAAAGAAGTGTCAGCTTGAGGCTTCTCAATTTTACACAATCAAGCGTTAGTCCAATTTTTCAATCACTTGTGGAGTACAAAAACAATAAGATAAGGAATTTTGAAAGTTTTTCTAATTAAAAATAAACATACAAACATTCTTCAGGTTGCTCTCTGCTTGCGGAAGACTCCTGTTGCTTGGATTAAAAATAAATAATGTAAAAAACAAGAGATTCGTGAACTAAGATAATAATGCAGAAAAATATATCCATGTTTCATACATTTTCATGACGCCTGGTACTTTGAGCGAAAGTGGTTCTAGAGCCTTTCGTTGAATGATTTTCTTTTTGTTCCGAAAGTAGACTCCCTCGGGCATAATTCGAAAGCAACTTTGTTGTTTGAAGATTTCATAGCATCCTTTCCATCGTTGCCCTTGCTCAAAGGTTTCCATCAATTTGTATCATGTTCAACAGATTTTAAATTTAATCCAATTCATTAATATATCTGACTGCAACTGTATGCACACCAAATTTTCTACTTCTTCATTTGATCTTTTTCCATCTTGCTCATGACTCATGAGTATTATCAAATTTGAAGATAAGTTCATCGAATATGGAAGGGGGTAAAAAAACAACAAAACAACGCGAAATTTCTTAAATTCAAATCGTTTGATATACCTTAAGCTTTGAGCCCTGACGTGGCCGCCAGTGATGGCGGACTTCGACATAGTTTTGGATAGAGGGAGCCGAGTGACGAAATTTGGAAGGAATGGACGGATGCGGCGGCAGAGCAAGCGAAGGACGGCGGGGATGCAACAACAAACTATAGATGCTACCCAAGAGATGTTGAGTAACATAAGTCCGATTTATAGTGGTTCGGGCTCATTTGTAACAAACGACATAGCTCGGTTTCGCTTGTGGGCAGGACGAAAATTTTTGTTGAAGTTGGGGTAGGAGGCGACGTCTGAAAAGAGGAGAGTTCCATAGGTTGGGTTTTAAGATTGAAGACCAGAATGGATAACCTCTTGCTTCCATCTCCTTCTCGGTCGATGGCGTGTGCTGAAAAAATGGAAAAGCGGTTGTTATGTCACATATTGTCAGGGAGTGAATTTGTGAAAGATTTTTTGCATCAATGAGTGTAGAAATAAAATAAAATTGTTGCAAAACTTCGTGCAAAAGAAAAAGGCTGATAAATGTAATGGACTAAAACAGCTTACAATGGCAAAACTGTAATAAAAACTAGTACGCGACCCGCGCGTTACGCGACCCGCGCGTTACGCGACTTGACATTAAAAATAATTTAGGTGAATTAGAATTCAATATACATAAAACATGTATAGAGTTAACAAAAAATAGGATAAATATTTTATTTAATATATTTAAAATATTTTTCTGAATATAATATGAGTAATCGATGAACTGTATTCATTATGACTATTATCATAAATAATAATCATAAGACAACTGGAATCGGTGACTCTAGAAACAACATATAACCGATTGTGAGTACAAAATATCATATGTTTTTTTTATAAAAAAATAAAATATAATTAAATTAAAATATTCATTCGTGATATTCAACAAAAAAATATTTTTCACATTAATGACACTCCTTGAAACTTCATCATTCCTGAATAATAAAGACATTATTACTATTATGTAGGTAAACTGATATAAATTAATTGAAATAAATATGTAGAAATATGATTCAATTAAAAAATATAAATTAAATACTTAAAACAAAAAAAAAACAAAATAACTAAATTTTGAACTGCATGTTTCAAATTAGGTCCATATAGTTTTCTCTTTTTTTAATTACCTAATTAAATTTTAATAATTAATTTCTTTTTGCCAAATAAGTCTGATGCTGATCGGACTGACCTGCAAGATGGATCACCTTCTGTAAACTTACAAATAGGCACAATAATCGTTAATGTTCATGTCAATGACAAATTTATTTATTTTTGCGCGCAATTCATAAGAAATAAAATTTAATATATTTTTTTGGAAATGAACCTTGATAGAATTTTCATAAGATAAAAAAATACATTTAAAATATATTATGTAAAATTAAAAAAGTATATTATTTTTATAAAACTAACATTTATGATATATGATAAGAAAAAAATAGTTGATGCATTATAGTAAGCCATATTGAACTTTATTGCAACAATTTAGTAGCGATATTGTATTCGCATTATTCTCTTAACAAAACATTGTTATAATAACAAAAAAATAACAATAACTAATACATTATGCCATTGTTATTCATAAAAATTTATAGATGCATGTTTATGAATAAATAAATTAAAATGAGGGCAATCAGTTTAATCACAACCATTTAAATGACCTCAAATGGCGGTCTCAATAAAAAATAATATCGACTAAAAATGAATTAAAAAAGCTATTTATTTTGGGCTCAAACAATTCAATCAAATAGAACCAAAATCAATATAAAAGGTTTCATATATAACAAAAAATCAACTAAACAATTGGATGATAATAGATTGTCATATTCATTCTTCCGAGTCAAAACTATATCGTCACCATTTCTCTCTCATCTCTTATGGTTGAGACTTGAAACTCTCTCACTCTTTTTATTATCATTTTTTTTTTGTTCTTTAATATAACTCCACAATTTTAGTCTCTTTCTTACCATAAATGAAACTAAATTCCGATGTTATGTTCAAGAACTAAATCGTCTAACTTTTATTTTTTTATACATAATGTGTCAATATATGTCCATCTAAAAGTTGAAAAATAAAAATACAAATATCTATATATATCAACATTTTTTACTATATAAGTTCATGATGTTTTTCTTTTCTATATATTTTCAGGCCATATTAAGGTAACGATCAAGATAATAAATGTCAATGTATCCATCAATAGCCAAAACTTATTTTGGAGGATTTTTTTCCAAGCTACTTAACTTTTGTATATAAATATATGTGGGTATGAGTGTGCATGTGTGTTAATATTATGACATGTGCAATGCACATATTGAGGCATTGTTAAAAATAATATAAATTTTCTCGTATCCAAAGAATTATGTTACTCATAAAGGAATAAATATAAAAATAATTAATAAAAAATTAGAATGCAAATTTATATTACGTAATTATTGATAAATAAGTATTTATAGCAATTAATTATATTTTGTTGTTAGAATTATCTATATAGAAATTAAGAAATTAATTTTATAAATTTATTTTTATGGTAATTAAGGTGAAAGTTCCCCATGTATAATTATTTATTTATTTGTAATAAATAATTATAATTGCTATTTTAATTGTAGATCATACATAAAAGTTGACAGTTTATTCTTGATAATTAATGTAGTTTTGGAGAGAAAATATTTTTCTCCAAGCTACTTCACTTATGTAATATATATATATATATATATATATATATATATGTTTACACAATAACCTTGAGCAAATTAACTCCTGTCAACTAAGTTTTAAATTCTCGTGATTTTTTAGTTATATATCCAATATGTAAAATATGTTAATTCATCGTCACATCAGAAATGAATATAGTAAAGCATGCATGGTCATGAGTTATACATACATATATATAGTACGCAGATGTAGTTGTGAGTTAGACAATCATATTTTTTTCATGAAAATTGCATACTTATACTATACAGTGCCATACTTTTATTTACATTGTAATTTAAAGTATGATATTAATGTGAAATTATGTATATTTATTGAAAATGCAATCCATAAAAATTTACTAATATAAGTAATATGACAAAATTTCATACATTAGTGAATCCAATGGTCAATTTCAAATTTCAAGACGTAGAACTAAAGAAATGAAGTAAATAATTTATTATAAACATAATGCAATTCAAATATGATATGTATGTATATATCACAAAGATACTTGTAAGTCGGTGTAACTATTAAGAAAATCATCCACCATTTTTTTAATCAAATATGTGTGCTCATATTATACTTTTAAACAACATTATTTTTCAAGGTAAAGTATTTTATTATAAAAATATTTATATTTATTAGAAAAAATATGTCTATGTTAGACCTATAAAACAAAATTTTTACCCCATTAGGAGATTATGATTAATTTGATAGAAAATAATTACATTAATTTTTTTTTTTAGTTTGAAATTTGTTTTAAAAAAGTAATTTCATATTTGTCAAGTCAAAGTGTACATTATCACATTGAGAAAAAAAAAAAGATAGAGAAAAATTAGGAGTTGGGCACGCTTCCCTAATATACATGAAACAAAGACTAAAATTTTGTATGTATTCATTATTCTTAAATTTAATACTAAACTAAAATTTTGTATGTATTCATTATTCTGAAATTTAATACTAAGTGGGCATTTAATGCAAAATTTAAGAGAAGATTAGTTATTATCAATTAATGTTCAAACATTTAATGCAGGCAAAATTAAGAGGAGATTAATTATTATCAAATAATGTGCAAACATTTAATGTAGATTTTGAGCGGGAATTTGGCAGCTGCTCTGCTTTAATATATACTAGTACGCTACCCGCGCGTTGCGCGGCTTGATATTAAAAATGATGTGAATGAATGATAATTTAATAAAAAAATATTTTAAAAACATCTATTGATATAAGAGTAGACTAATTTATTTACTAATCCAATAAATATACTTCCACAAATATAACACTAATATAGCATTAATAGTAGATGAGTAGTGTTCCTTATCACCAACAGTAATAACAATAATTAGACAACATGGATTCGTGACTATAGAAACAATAACAACGTATAATTGTTGTAACTAAAATATTCAATATATTTTTTTTTTCTTAAAATTTTAAAAATTAATAAGCTTACAAAAAAATGTGATATACTATGAAAAAAATTATTTGTCACATTAATGACACTCCTTCAGAATTTTTCATAAAAATGTCTACGTGCATGATAACATAATTCCATAGGTAAAAAAAATAAAGTCATAATTACTATTCTACAAATAAAGTAATATATTAATAATTAAAGTTAAGATGTACGAAGGTGAGTAAATTAAAATTTATAAATATAAATTAAATACTTAAGAAACAAATAAAAATGACTTCTATCCGCATGTATTTAATTTTAAATTAGGTCCACATATTTTTCACTTTTTTATTAACAAAATAAATATCAACATTTCAATTTTTTTGCGAAATAAGTACGATGGTGATTAGAGAATGACGTGGAAGATTGATCATTTTTCGTAAAGTTATAAATAGACCAAGTAATTTCACAAATCAATGGGATTGCAATTCAGTGTAATTTTTAGAAATGCACATTGACAAAATTTTTGTAAAGTAATAAGAAAAAGACATTTAAATTATATTATATAATATTAAAAAAAACATGATTGTGAAGTTAACATTGTGATAGATGATAAGGAAAAAATAGTTAATGCATTATAATAAGTTCTGTTTAACTTTATCTACTACAACATTCAGTTGCGATAATATGCTTCTATTAAGAAAAATTAAACGGTAACTGACACATTATGCTATTTTTATTTATAAACAACACTTTTGTATATTTATTTAAAAAAATAAGGGAGGTCAATTTTCACCAACTTTTACATAACCTTAAATTTAAGGTCAGTTAAAATAAATGAAACAAATAATTATCGGATCAAAATATTCAATCAACAGGATCATTTCGTCTTCATTGTCAAAACTACAGTATCACTTTTTATCTTTCTTGTTGTTGAAATTCACTCTTTCTATTATCATTTTCTAAATTTTTTCATTTCACAATATTCTTTTATTGCTTACCCATAAATGAAACAAAATTAGATGCTATGTGCGAATACTAAATCAATTATTTTTATGTTGTATATAAACTATAAAAATAAATGTTCACCTCATTGTACAAAATACAAATTTATGTCCGAACACTAAATCAATTATTTTTATGTTGTACACAAACTATGTAAATAAATGTTCACCTCATTGTACCAAAAAAAAATTGTGTTTATACATATTGAATTATTTTTTATTATATACTTTAAAGTTGTAATTTTTATTTTCATAATATTATATTAGGAAAATAATCAAGATGATCACCGTCAATGTTAGATCAATAGCTAAAACTTATTTTTCATAAAATTTAAGATAATTGTAATTAACTTATTATTTAGAAATACAAAATTATTTCCAAATATCAATAATAAAACATTTAATAATAATAATAATAATAATAATAATAATAATATATAAGTCTAAAACTAAAAAGTAAAACTGACAATTGTGATATATGATGAAGAAAAAATAGTTGTTGCATTCGTAGTAAGTTGTAGGACTTTATATGTCGCAATGTTTCGATAAAGATGATACATTATTGTCATTCTTAAGAAAACAATATACGATATACAAATAAAACATTAACAATGAAGTTAACTTGTTGTGCCTCAGAAATTATAGTTGTATATTTATGGACCAATAAAAAAAAATTAATGAAGGCGAAAACTTTATGCGCGCATGTGTTTAAGTGGACTGTTCAATATTTTCATAAATAAAATAAATTATACCAACTAAAAATAATAAAAAACCAAAAACAACATGAAACGACCTAATATATAGTTGAAAATTCACTGAAGAAATGAACTATATATATGCATTTTTCTTTTCAGCATTCACAATCAAATCCATGAGTTGTCTCTTTGAAATGATGTCATATCTCTTTTTTTGTACGCTATCATTTGTGGATTTTGTTTTCTTTTTACAATATCAGTTATGAAATAATAGGCTATTGTTTATCTATAAAATACAGTCTATTTCATGGCATTTTCGAATTCTAAGATGTCTTATTTTTCTTTTCTTTTGTTTTCCTTATTTTCATATTCATAGTTTATTAGTAAACGAAACTTCAATCCATATAGTTCTTGAAGTTTCTTTTACCCAAGTAAAGTCTATTCAACATTTTCGGAGATCTATTTTATATGGATATGAAGGATCATCCCCAAAAACTATAGATGATATTTTAAAAAAAATACTTATTTTAGTTGAATAAATTATATTATTTATGATAAATATAACTTCATTATTTGTTACCTCTCTCTATTTGTATTGCATTTGTTATTTAAAAAAATATATTATAAAATACAATAAACAAAAGTATGAAATTTAGAAGTCTAAGTTCGCATTTTGGTTAAAAAAGAATGACACGTTGACTTGACTAAACCGTACTCCAGCTCACATAAGAGTTTGTGAATGATTAGACTTTTTACAATTTAAATTAAAAGATATTGTTTAGGAATGAGGTACTCAATATAAATAATTTAATGGTTACTTGTAATTTCTTAGAATTACATAGAGATATAAAATAATATAATATTAGATTAATAAGAGATTATTACATATTTTATTAACGTGTACGTAAATTCCATCATATTAGAGTATATGTGTCAAACATGACATGGTGCTACTATTAGATATTTATATGTAAACATTGAACATGTGTATGTTAAAATAAACAACATAGAATTTTAAATTGACATATCGAATCTAAAAGTTTATCTATATATCTGCAATATAGATACAAAATTAAAAACTATAAAAATATTTATTTATTGTATTACATGCAGATATTGTATTAGTTATGATTTTTTCTATTTTACCTTGAAATATTCAGAATATAACAGAAAAATTAATATTGTGTTTGATGTTAAAAAATAAATAAAAACATATATTAAAAATAAATGATTTTAAATAAAAAATTTACTTAAAAAATTATTTTTAATGATTAATTAAATGAGATTGATAATTTATTTTTATAAGAAAAAAATATAATATATAAGGAAAGGAACTCATACTCACAAATGGGAAGAGAGACAAATAATAAGTGGGATGTTAGAATGAGAATTCATAATAAATAAATATGTATAGTATTAAATATTATTTGTAACAAATAATTATGTCACTCACAAAAATATTTAACGGAAATTTGTACAATAATTGATATGACTAAAATAAGTATTTATTTGTAACAAATAATTATGATATTGTTTTGAATGATAAATAATACACTGAAATTAACAAAATTTATTTCATGGTCATATAAGTAGTTGAAGAATTTATTTAGCCAAGAGAAATTAGAGTGCAAATTCCAATACAATTATGAATACAAATTATTTATTCATATGTAACAAATTTTTTTTATTGATAAATCATGCATAGAAATTGATAAAATTTATTTCAATGTAGTAAATGTAGTTTTTGATGAAAATTTTACATAAAAAGTGATAAAATTTATTTCTAGTAATTAATATAGTTTAGGAGGAAAAATATCCAGCTGCTTCAGTTTAATATATATATATATATAGATTAGACAAATGTCAATTTTTTAAGTGGCCAAAACTGGACACTTGTCGCCTCTAGAAGGCCACACACTTCTTCGTATAGATATAAAAGAGGTATCATTCGTGTTTGGAAAGTTTTGGAGGTTGAAATAAGGCGGTGACGGGGAGATGAGAGCAAAGTTTCTAAAACAAATAGGGTTTGTTGTATTAGATTTTCAGCTAAAGTGCTACATATACTTGTGGGTGGTGTTATACATGAACTTGATAAAACCTATAGTTTTGTAATTTTGTTGTGAATAATATTTTTTTAAGTTGTATGATACTATAATATACCAGTTGAATATGTATTGGTAATATAAAATTTGTGCTCTGGAAGTCGCTAGGCGCTCGACCAGTACTTAGCGTTAGACGGTGCCTAAAAATTAAGATTAAGTATCTTATTTATAATTTATTTTTACTACCTACAAAATAAAACTACCACAACTTATAATAAATTCACACACCTAAGTCTAAGTAATAATATTAATATATTAAGAAAACATGATAATAAAATAATGTAATTAGTCTTTTAAAAAAAAATTGAAAAATAGCCGCCGAACCCGCGTAGGAGCGATTAAGCTCGCCTAGCTGTCTGGCGGATTTTTTCAGTCGATTCATGCAAATCGGAGGCGGCCGGGTGGCGCCTAGCGCATAGGCGGCAGCCTAGATTGACTTTTAGAACAATGTGTAAAATTGGTCATATCAATTATACGAAGTAATTTTAAAAATGATCAAACGAAAAAAATAAAAATATTATCATACGAATAGGACGAGTTAGAAGACTTATATATAGATATAGAAAGAAGATTTTCCTAAGTTACAATAATTCACTGTAGTTTTCATATTATTGATTTAAACTTAATTTAATAATTAATACAATTAAATTGACAGTCCGATTCTCCGATTCACTGTAGTAAGACCCCTTTTAATGCACCGTATCGATATGTTTTCAAATTTTAGTGGAAAGTCCTTTTAACCCTCTTTTATGTATCATTATATATTTTCAAACTTCATTATATGTTTCAAACTTCAGTCTATCATTATCTATTTTGAATTTTCAAACATCAGTCAAATACCTCGACGAGTTGTTGGTTTTAGAATGAACATAGAAACAGTTGTCTGAAATTTTACTTTCCATATCACAGAAACCAGATGCATCTCATGATGAAATTTACTCAGAAAATGATGAAATATTGGCATCTCAAGCTAAATTCAAAACTATGTCCCAATACGGGGTAGAGTTTTTAAAAACGAGGCTGATTCCAAATTCATTGAAATCTTTCATTACATTATCCAAATGCAACCGTGACAAAGGGAATCCGATGTCCAGCATATCACCAATAAATATCACCAAATCAACAACAACAAAATGAAACCATGACACCATAGCAACTGGCAGATGAAAATGATAATTAGCAAACATAATAATAATAAGAAGCACGTAATTGAAGTACGAACAGAATCTCAGCAGCTGTAAACAAAGTATTATAAAGTTAAAGAACAATAACATCAACCGTCTCCAGATAAAACAAAACAAACTGCAGCATAGTAATGTAAAGACTCAGGTCAAGTTTCTGCTGGACACAGCAAAGTGCAAACCCACACACAAAGACTAACCATAGAGATCATCCTCGTCAGCCCCACCGGCAGTGGCCGCAAACGGGTCAGATGCTCCGCTGGCAGGTGCTGACTCAGCAAACCGGAATTCAGTCCCGAACCCACGTGACTGCTGCAGGGTCTGGGCAAAGGCCTGATACTTGCGTATGTCCGCATCACTCACACTCCTGCGTGCAAATTTCATCGACTCCTCAAAATGAGCTGGCTTGATCTCCGACACCTCATCATCGGCATCTTCTTCCATCGAGTCTGGATTATCCCTCCTCCTCCTCTCCCTTTCTATGTCCTGAGGTGATTAATCACATTCACAGATTGTAGAAAATAATTAAAGAAAAAACAAAAAATAAAAGATTCAGACTAGGCTTGTACGAAATCAAAAAATTTTGATTCGATTCGATATTTGAATTCGATATTCAAAAGTTAAACGAATCCGGATTCAAATTTGTCTGATATTCGATTCGAAATCATCGATATTCGAGTCGTGAACGATAATTATATAAATTTTGTTTTTATACATATATTGTTATATTCCTAATATTTCTACGACATAAAAAGTAAAAACATCCCAAATTAACAATTTGCCTTAAAAACATCTCAAATTGGATTGAAAGAACATAAACAATATTTCTGTAATTATATTTTTTATTAATTATAATATTTTTCCGAAAACGAATTTCAAATCGAATCGAATACGTTCGATTATTCTAAACGAGTCGAATACGAATCAAAAAAATGAGCTCGTTTGCAAATCGAATACGAATTCGAATCCTCGAATATTTTAACGAATCCGAATCGAATATCTTAATATTCGCTTTGACTCGATTCGCTTACAACCCTAATTCAGTCTTAAGGGAAGAAGTGGCTGGAGGAAAGCAATAATTACCTTCTCGATGTTCTCCCTAATGGCATACTTGCAAGCACGCTGGCAAATCTCGGTGATGTCAGCGCCACTGAATCCCTGAGTGTACTTGGCAAGGGCCCGCAGGTCAACGTCTTTCGAGAGAGGGGACTTGCGAAGGCAGGCTTTGAAGATCTGGTGACGGGAGTCCTCATCCGGAAGGGGGATGTAAATCAGCTGGTCAAGACGGCCCGGACGAAGAAGGGCCGGGTCGATAATGTCCGGCCTGTTAGTGGCACCAATTATGAAGACAGTCTTTTTGGCATTCATGCCATCCATTTCGGTCAGAAGCTGGTTAAGAACACGATCTGCCGCTCCACCAGCATCACCTACACTGCTTCCTCTCTGTGCACCAAATACAAGTAAAATGTTACTACGTACTTGTTGTAAAAAAGAATAAAAAACAATGATTACTTTGGACCTAGGTCAATAATTTCATTTTATTTTTATTTTTTTTTTATATTCTTCTGAAGGACAACAAAACTGTGTACTAACCTGAGTAGCAATGGAGTCGAGCTCGTCAAAGAAGAGAACGCAAGGAGCAGATTGACGAGCCTTGTCGAATATTTCGCGAACATTAGCTTCACTCTCTCCAAACCACATGGTGAGTAGTTCGGGGCCTTTCACACTGATAAAGTTGGCTTGGCACTCGTTTGCAATCGCCTTGGCAAGCAGAGTTTTACCGCATCCAGGAGGGCCATAGAAAAGGACACCCTTTGAAGGTGACATGCCGAATTTCTCGAACTTCTCCGGGTGCTCCACAGGATATTGCACAGTCTACAAGAGACAGTTTACGTGGTTAACAATTATTGATCTCGACAGATGTAGCACAATAGATACTGATTCAAACTGATCACAAAATGTTAATTCTATTTTATTATTTATATTACCTCCTGAAGCTCCCTCTTGACATTCTCGAGTCCTCCAATATCTTCCCAGGAGACATTGGGTACCTCAACAACCTGCTCATCAATTCAGATTATACAATTAAAAACACAAAATATCGTAATAGAATTTATAACTCATGCTGATACACATATCAAGAAGTTTCACTTACTGTCTCGCGCAAAGCAGAAGGATTGCTCGTCCCAAGAGCAGTGTGGAAATGCTCATTCGTCACGGCCATGGAGTTCAGTATCTCAGCGTCGATTGTATCATCTTCCAAATCAATGACATCCATTTTCTCCCTGATGCACTGGAGAGCAGCTTCAGTACACAGAGCTGCAAGGTCAGCTCCAACATAGCCATGTGTGTCTTTCCCTATTCTTTCCAAATCAACCTGGAAAATGATGCATCTCAATTAAGGTAATCCCATTTCTAACAAGATGAAAAAAAAAAAAAAAAAAAAAAAAAAAAAAAAAAGTCTAGGTAAAAGGAGTTCCATCTCACATCATCAGAAAGTTTCATGTTCTTGGTATGAATCCTAAGAACCTCGAGACGCCCGACTTCATCAGGAACACCAATATCGATTTCGCGGTCAAACCTACCAAACCTTCTAAGAGCTGGGTCAATGCTGTTCGGCCTGTTAGTGGCTCCCATTACAATGACATGGGCACGGGATTTCAAGCCGTCCATGAGAGTCAAGAGTTGAGAAACAATCCTCCTCTCAACTTCGCCGTGTGTCTTCTCTCTCTTGGGCGCAATTGAATCAATTTCATCGATAAAGATGATGGATGGTGCATTCTTTTCGGCCTCCTCAAATGCCTTCCTCAGGTTGCTTTCACTCTCTCCAGCCAATTTAGACATGATTTCCGGCCCATTAATCAAGAAGAAGAAAGCACCGGTCTCATTAGCAACAGCCCGAGCAATCAATGTCTTTCCTGAACCCGGGGGGCCGTAAAGCAAAATTCCTTTTGGAGGTTTCACGCCAATAGATTTGAAAAGCTGAGGATGCCTTAGCGGCAGCTCCACTAGTTCACGAATCTGAGCCATCTGCTTTCTAACACCACCAACATCATCATAGCCGACCTCGTCCAGCCTATCTTCATCCTCTCTCCTCACAGGTTCACCTTCACAGAAGATCTCGGTATCAGGGGCCACAACACAGTACTCCCCAGGATCAGTCTCAACAACCTTGAATTCTACACTTCTCATTCCACCTCTCACAAGAAAATGGTCTCCTTTCCTCACAGGGCGGTACGCCTGCAGAAAGTAAGCTGTACAGATAATGTAACAGCTGAATTAGAGAGATCCATTTTGTATCAACTACAATTTAAGTCGGCAATATGTAACAGTGACTTACGTTTGAGATATGCATCAAAGAGATCCCCAGTGAGACCTTCTATTGTATCATCCAGGGGCAATATGTGGACACGCTTTCCATATTTAACATCTGGGCACTGGTGCAAAGAAACAACATCCGCAAGACGAACCCTCAGATTTGCCCTGACGACCTTATTCATCCTAATCTTTGGCTCTTCACATGTCTCATCAGCAAGGGCAATGCACACGGTATCCTTTCTTTTCTTTCCCTGGAAAGCAGCATTAAAGGAGGATCAAGATGTTAGCTCATCACAACAAAATCAAGCACACTGAAAAATATCAATTTGATCATATAAAGTACACAAGCTCCTCTAAAGCTTTTGCTAATGCACAATAAACAATAGATTGTGCACTTATATGATGTAGGATAGTTATGTAAGGCATAAATTTACTTTAATAAAACATTGATCATAACATCTAGACAAAAACTGGATGTAAACAGCTCCAACATGTTCAATCTCATGAAAAAATTATACTGCGCCAATAAATGCATAGCAGCAAGTACAACTTCCCCTCATTCTTGAGGTACGCTCATATCTCACTATTGTTAAAACAATATGTTATACAACTGCATATCTTCGCTCTGCTGAGGTTGTTACACCATGTCCACACTTCACATCCATATTAATAAAAGTTAGATCTTTTAAATAGACACATGCTACCATGAACCATGAGCAGATTAGATACAACTGGGCACATCACATAAAAATCCTCTAAAATAGCCACAATCCAGCAAAAAATATCATCTTAACCTGTGCCTCAACCTAACCAAACATAACATCATGGAAATCTTCACTATTGACTCAAAAATTACATGTTGGTCTGTAAGTATAACAAGTAAGGAAATTCTATCAACGATCTCAGCTTCAATACCACTTTCTGTACATTGAAAAAGCTTCAAACAGTCACAATAGAAACAAACCCTAACCCTTGCCCCTCCGAAAGAAAACAAATAAGAATCGCTGAAGAAAAAGAAAATAGAGTGCCTAACCTTAATCAGAATAGTGTCTCCTCGGAAAAGCTGGAGCTTTTCCATGGTGCTGGGGTGAAGAGTGACAACGGAATTGTCATCGTTGACCGCCTCATCTACAATTAGCCGATTAGCCGCCTTCTTCCTCTCCAAAATCGCGGTTGAGAAGTCCTTCTTCCCACTTTTCCTGTTCAGAGAAGAAAATGATTCAGATTGCCAAGAGCGAGAAAAGCAAAAGGAGAAAAAAGAATTGCGATCCATCGACGGCGAAATGACTGAGATATGAAAAAGGAAAAACTTACGAATCAGAAGACTCAGCTGGATGACTCATATCGCCGGCGATCTGAGTGAATCGGAGTTTCGAGAATTCAGATATGGGATTTCGTTTGGGAGAAGAAAAGGGGAAACCGTGAGTTGAAGCGATATATGGTACTTGGTACAGGTTCTGCGTTCTGCTGTTCACCGCCCCTTTTACTAGTCACCGTTCCCATTTACTCTTTTGCCATTAACCCTTTTATGGATTTTATCTCTCTAAACTTTTTATCTCTCTAAATTTTCGAACTTCAACGAACGATTTGAGCATAAAAATAAATCCAAAAAAATATCAAAAAAATTCTACGGCATCAGGAAAGGATTCTTCTCCAACAAGGTAAATTTTTTTTTTTTTTTTGGCCGGAACTAATTTTAAAATTT